CTTCTTCCATGTGGGCTTTGTTGCTTCTGAGCTAGATGGCCGCTTGTTTACCTTCAAGGCTTTAATACCCCAGACGCATTGTCGTTTGATAGCCGGGCGTGTGCGAGTATGGGTAGACTAAAGGAACAAATCCAGAGACACTCAGATGTGTGTCTTAGAGAACTTTATATCAAGGAGTAATTGTATATTAAAAAAATCCCAGACAAGTCAAGATCAAGTCCATAAGTCCTATATTAGCCCATATGTCCAATACAAGTCTATAAATTCCTCTTCAGACTCACACAACACATGCAATGATGCTGGATGCAGGAAGATCACCGGCCAGTGGGTGGAAAGTCTTGTGGATCCAGTAGCAGTGGAAGCATCTCAGTGCTGGCGTGGGTCTCCTTACAGCTCCTCCAGCTCCAGGGCTCTGGCTCCATCAGTGCAGCTCCATTTGGCTTGTCAACAGGAACACAAAGCAGAGAGAATGTATCTGGCTTCCAGTGAGCTATTTATTTCCATTGAACTTCCAAATGAGGTCATCAAGCTGCGACCTGATTGACAGGCTAAACTCCACTCTTCACTTTTAATAGTCTCCAGAGTGAATCGTTTCAATAGTCTCAAGTTGACACTACCACACTTAGATTGATGTGTTTGGGGCTATTCTCTTTAAAAACATTCACATTTAGCTATGTGAGGATTTAATTCTCCTCTGTGACCCTTTAATGGATGTTTTGGGGAAATGCTTTCATTGAAGACAGGGAGCTGATCAAACGGAGAGATTTGTAAGGGGAGTAAAAACCATTTTGGAGTGCCACAAAGAAAAGTAGCTTTACAAGTCAAGCATTTTGTACATTCATGAAAATCTGCTTAACATCACTTCCCAGTTTCAGCTTCAGCAGCCTTGCTGCCTGCCAACATTCAGTGGATAGCAGTCAGCTGTCAGGGGTATGAAGTCTTTTAGTAGAAAGCATTAAAGCCTAATTCCAGCAATTGACTAAAAAATCCCTCTGTCTTTTCGCATCACCGCCTGAGAGAGGCTTCTTGTGTGGCAGTGCAGTTCGTCGGGCCTTGTTGGGCCATGCAGAATAAAATAGAAGTAGTTAAGCTACGTGTGGCGGATGAAAGCCACCAAAGGCATCTTATTTCTGCCTCTAGCCTCAGAATTAGAGTTCTAAAGGAGAAAGCCTCTTTACATATTGTTACTTTTGTATCTAGGTGTTCTGAAGTACAACTTGAAGGCTGTTTTTGTGTCCAGACCTAGGGGCTCAACATGGTTTATTTCAACTCTATTTCTCTTGCCAAAAATCCAAAAGAAAGAAAACATATTACAAACCCGTTTTGATGAAGCCTTGAAAAAAAATCTGAATACATTCAGGATTGCCTTCTGTTAAAGAGAAAATAAAGGTGTGCTTTTCAAAGTTATATAGATTGAGAGCCTTCCAAACTGATTACCTATTGAAGCAAGTGAGTATATACATATATTTTAAATCAAATAAAAACAGTGAGGAAATGTCCTAAGAGCAGAAAAGAAGAAGCCCTTGAGGGAATTTTTTTTTCTGTTCTCCAATCGGGGGCCTTTGGTTGTTGTTAGGTTCAGGAGTTTTTCAGCATGACTACATGAGGCCATTGTGCCTCAAAGTTGCAGTGCAGGACAATGAGCACTGCGCCATAGAAGTGCGTCAGTCTTTCTAGCAGCAGAAGGTTGCCCCTTCCACCTGTGGAGCAGCTGGGGGTCCAATGGGCTGACCTTTCAGTCAGCTGCTGAGCACTTACCCACTCTGCACCAGGGCTTTGTCATGTACTCTGGGTGGTAAAGATGATATCATGACTGTAATACTACTAGAGTTATAGGGATATTACTGGACTTATAACAAGCCAGTTGTAAGGTCAGAATCAATCAATTCGTGAAATATTCTCAGCCCCAAATGTTTTACAATTACTGCCTTGCCCTCAGTAGGTTGACATTCCACCTATGTGCTCCATACCCATCCATTAGTCATCTTTCCAGAAGTTTCCATGATTGCATCTACACTGGAATATAATTATTTCGTCAAATTATGATATATACTTGAGTATTTTTGTGCACTGAAAAAATATGTGACTGTGATAGAATCTTACCCATTTAACATTATACCTATGTTTCTCAATATGATGGGTGAAAATATGACTATTTCTATACTGTGTACCCTTTAATGTCATAAACATTGACAAGTTTTTATGAAAGATAATTTGGAAGACAACTCTGCAAAATACACATATATTTTGCTATGTTGCCTTGTTAAAAATTCAGTATATTCTTTGATTCTTAGACTGAAATTTAATTAGTATAATGTAATGTCCGACTGTTGATACTACTTATTTTTATATCCAAGAAGGCATCTAAAAAGTTTGTGGTCAATTTACATTATCTCTCAATTTCATTTTCTACAAACTTTGTGAAGCCCGTTCCTTCATATTTCAAATATATTTTTATGATTTGTTTTTATAATTAGATACCAGGTATATGTGTGAATTGTATTTTCAGTATTTTTCAGCATAGATTTGAAAACATATTGAACTTGTTATCTTCCAAAAATTTCATTCATACTAAAATTTACTTTCAATTTTACATGTTCAAAAACTAATCACTAACTAGAAATGTTAGCAGAGTTGAGTCTAGCTGCTTTTTGTCACAAGTGAATCTATGTTGTGTCTTACACAAACACATACATAGTATGGATGTTTAAAGTTGTCTTATCGGTACTTTGGGTTGAACATTGAACTTCTCATTAAAAGATCATTGGTTCAAACCCACCACCTTCTTAATGAAACAAAGATTAAGCAGTTGACCTCAGTAAAAGATTTATAGCTTCAGAAACTCTCTAGAGCAGTTACACTCTGCCTTGTAGAATTGCTAAGAGTCACCAGAAAGTGGTGTATTTTGAGTTGGGGAAACTGGGCTATGGTGTTCACTGAAAAGGCAGCATGTGAAGAAAGATGTGACAGAGTGTTCCCACATGGGTGAAAGACTTGTAAGACCTGTGAAGCAGTTCTACCTGATTCTGTGTGGTTTGTGTTAGTCCAGGTAGACTAGAGAAACAAATTCATAGACACTCAGATGTGTATAAGAAGAGCTTTATATAAAAGAGCTATTGAGTATTGAGAAAACATCCCAGCCCAGTCCAGATCAAGTCCATAAGTTCGATATCAGTCCATATGTCTGATATCAATCTATAAATTACTCTTCAGACTCACAAAACACATGCAACAATGCTGAGTGCAGGAATACCACAGGCTAGTGGGTGGATTTTTCTTGTGGATACAGTGGTGGTAGAAGCATCTCAGTACTGGCATGTGTCTCCATGTGGCTCCTCCAGATCCAGGCCTCTTGATGCCATCAGCATCGTCCCATGTGTCTTGTCAGTAGAGAGTCTCTCAGGGAGTGAGCATGTGTCTCACCTCCAATGAGCTATTTATCTCCTTGGTACCTCCAAATTAGGTCTTCAAGCTGTCACCTGACTAACAGAATAAACTCCAACCCTTTGCTCTTGATCCTCAAACTGACTATGTAACTACCTCAGGGTCTCTAGGAGTCAGAATCAACTCAACACTAATGGATTCATTAATGGTGACCCTCAGGCTTTATGGGTCTTTAAGGAGCCATTTGCACAGTGATCCTAAAAGTCTGAGCTAGAAACTGGTAACAGAACGATACACAGAACTAAAGATCAGATATCTGAGCTGCCAGTCAGAAGTCTTTGGACAAAAGGGGGAAAAAAAGCTTCAGAAATCCCTTTGAAGGCGTGTTCAGCAAGAGTCTTAGACTGAGTGAGCACAGGTGGAAACCTATTGTCCCAAGTCCACAGAAAGTGGAGTTGGTTCTCTCTTTCCTGGGGAGTGCACATAGGGTTACCAAGGGTGATGCAGATCTGTCACTCAGCAGAACGACTCTCGAGTTTCCAGGTTCTGTCTCTCCAGTTTTGACACTGGGAGGAAGCAATTCAGCTGAGATTCTGTCTAGAGGGCTTTTGAAGCATGCCTTGGATTAAAAAAAGAAATTAAAGAAACAATCAAAAGCAGCCTGAGAAACATACTTTTAAACAAAATTACTCTAATATTTTCCTGTTTACCAATGTTTCTCAGTGACCTTTTGGACTTCTTACATAATTACCAAACCATTTTTTCAATGCCTGTCACTCCTTACAAATTATAGAAGCTACAAGTAAAGGTTCAATTTATGTGTGTAACTGAACATCAGAGAAGTAGAGACTTGACTCTGATTTCCCCTCGAAACTGTCTGGATCCTGGGAAATTCAAGCTCTAGAAGATACCACCAACATGGGGAAAAGCGTCAGGGCTATGTGTCCATAGATGATAGGGATTTGGAAGTAAAAGCTTCATGCGCAAACAATACCACATGGTAGACGTGGGATACGCGACCACAGGGTGGACGTGGGATACTCGACCACAGGGTGGACGTGGGATACTCGACCACAGGGTGGACGTGGGATACTCGACCACAGGGTGGACG